TCATCTAGGCTTATGCCGGCGATAATTTAAATTTTCTCTTGATACACTCTGTTAACTTGATCTGCTAGGTTCTGTCATATAATTTAATATGGAAATGAGTTGTTCAGCCTACTGCTTTGGAATGAAACCTTTAGACATGCGGTCTTCATAAAAATCGTCTGAAGGAAAATGTTTGCACAACAGATTTTACCCTTTCCCCAGTTTCTAATAATATTAAAAAATGTGTATCTTTTATTAAACGCTCGCAGGCTTTTGTCAAACCCCCTTCAGTGTCTAAACCGGGCACTCTCACTGCGTGTCGACGGTCGTCGGCCGACTCGATTCTATTAAGAACTCCATGAGTGCCCGGCTTTAGGTAAAGCAGTTGTAGGCCTACAACATACAAAAAAGTGTTTTCCTCCGGAGTCTGGCTTTAAACTCCATTATACCATTGTAGGCCTATTCATTTTCTTACAAGATAGTGTTCAAATTTCTTACGATATTATTGTCTCTATGTTTTCGAAATTGGTAAGAATATAATTTTCAACAGTACAAATTTATTTCTATGTACTTGTCCTGTTCTAAAGATTTAGCTACAGTTCAGGAGTGTTCGGGTTGCTCCTGAAGCAAGCACCTGTATATAAATAATGTTGATATGCATTAGAATTCAGTCGTTTCCCTATTGTCCGTTCATGATTGCGTTCAGTTGTTGTCCGTTCAGAAGCTTTCAGATTGTTGTGCCAAAAATTAACTTTTAAAAATACTGTGCGTTGTTTATTAATGCAGAATATTGAAAAATGATCCAAAATGTCTGACATGGGAATACCAATAATATTATATTTATTCTTCGATAATGGCCGAAACGAAGTTGGAGATAAATCGTCTACATGTATGATATCTATTTTTTGCCTATTGCAGAAGATACTATGGTTAAAGTCTTCTAATGTAAGTGTTTTCAGATTTAACAATATGCATTACTTGTGAAAGGTACGTTGAATTCTGTAAAGATTATGATTATGAGTAGGCCTAGGAAACAGCATTCTTGCATATAAAATCCTACTCCACTTGATTATTTTGTAACCTTCATGAATAAATTAGAGGAATTTTGGAAACAATTGATTAATGGAAAATTACATAAATTCCTTTATTCAACCGGTACTAAGTATGTATAAGCAACAACAATCTTCTCATCTAACGAACATGATTAGCAACACAGAACAATTACATCTTTGTCTAAAAAACTCCAAAAGCAATTATTTCTGAGAAAAATTGTATGTGTTTATGTTTCAAGTAACTTGCACAGTGCGGAGTAGGCCTAACCAGTAACAATATGCGCATGTAGCCTAGTATAGGAATATAATAGTCTAGAGTCAGAGTAGGTGTATTTAAAATGCTATGAACGCTAATGTTATGTTATGGATAGGCCTGTTATGGATATGTGATTCCGAAAGAAAAAGTTGAATTGAATAAGATTCCCGCTGCCGATCTAATAAAACAAGCATTAAAATTATTCACCAGGCCTATAAAAACGGGCAAAAAATTTCGGTCCATGTGAATTCCCCCAGTCCCTTTCAGTTCCCCATGAATTCGGCCCATTTAGCTTCAACCATAAAATCAGCCCAATCCCCAGGTAAATGGAATTACCTAGCCAAATTCCCTAGTGAATCCCCCCCCCCGGGGATGAAATTCACTATTTTCTGATTCGGGGAATTTGGCAATGGAAGGTATCAAAGGCACTAAACGTACCTACCGAGGGGAAAGGATCATGGGTTAAATTCCCGCCGAAGGAACGTATTTCAAACAATGATAGGAACTGTTTTCGTTGTTAGGCTTTGCCCGACACGATGTTTACAACATCGTTCCTTTGAGCAATGTTTCTACCATTATTTGTCTGTAATACAGCATATACCACAACGTCACCCAGCAATGTTATGTATAACTAGTGCTGTCCAAAAGCTCAGGTTTGATTTCTAGCACTTCATGTTTACTTTTGGTTTGCTAATCTCTATCGAAGTCCAGCAATCTTTTCGCACAGCCTTAGTACTGTATTGTTTTCAAGTATTTTGCCTTTTGGTTGATATACTGATTTATGGTAAAATATACATTATATTTTCAGGCAGGTACCCTACGCATTTTGTTGTATATATAAATATAGTATAAATTTTATATCTATAATTAATTATGGTCATGTTGATTGATAAATAATTACACACACGAAAAAGAAATAATAATTACCATAGTACTTATGATTACCAGGCAGCAAAAGATTTTATTTTCAAATTAAACCAGCCAAAATATAGGGCAAATCAAACCATTTGAGTGCATAGATAATGAACAATAAGAATAGTAATAAAAAACTTCTGTGACTAATACAATTGTGACTAATACAATTGCATATTAAAATTATATATTTTTTTTTTCTCGAAAAGATATCTATAAAAATTGCTCATCAAAATGTTATCCGGGTACAAAGAAAATTTAAATTATTGTAACAATGTAAGTCGCTAATAATTATATTGATGATAATAATGTTTGTAAACCAAATGCTTACAGTACATAGAACACTTACAATAAATAAGATTGTAAACAAATAATTGATTTAAATGTACAAATAATTTAAAACCTTACCTATAAATTATTATATGTATATATTATATCGTATCATAATTATATTTTTTCAGCATTGCAGAAAAACAAATTTTATATATTTGTGTGCATAATGATTCATAAATAATTAATTATATAACTTGAATCAATAGTAATAATGTTTACATCGTCTTTCACATATTGCAGTAGCTTCTCGCACAATGGAGGCAGCCATATCTGCAGCGTCAGTGCTTGGGAGTCCATGGAAAAAGGAGTCCAAGGTACCTGACAACATATATAATAGGACCCTCTAGATGCCCAGAATGGCACTCTCAGACTGTAAAAATGCTTTCCAAACAGAGTTACCTAACAAAATGAATTTGCTTCTTCCTTGACTGATGATGTGGTCTTGTATCAACTGAGCCCCCCCCCCCCCCAACAATCTCTGCATAGTCAATTCCACTATTTTATAAATTTCTCCAATAGCTTGTAACAACACTATGTGTTATGGTAGTGGCACAATTCTCAGTAATAATCAGTCAATAATAGAGCTATTTCAATAAAACTAGATTAAATTTAGACCTTAATGTGCTTAATTAAATTCATATTTAGTTGTGGACTATTTAGGCTTAGTTCACAATAGAGCAATTTAGAAACATTGACGCAGGCACAAGCAACGCTACTAAACGATTGCCTGACAACCAATTTAATGAAATAGCACTCTCCAACTGTTAAAATGCTGTTTCAAAGCAAAGTTCCCCTGACGAATTGAGGATGGGGACTTGAACCCCCAGTGGCACAACCACTGCATTATTGAATCCACTATTTTATTAATTTCTCGCATGGTCTGTGTTGATATAATGTTAGTGGTACGATTCTCAAGAATAAACAATATTATAATATTGACTTAAGTAATAATTACTCAATGATAGAGGTTGTTCTTTTCAGTATTTCAATAAACTAGATTAAGTTTAGATCTTAATCAAATTCAGATTTAGATACAGACTATTGAGGCTTAGTTCACAGGAGAGCAAATTATAAACATTGACGCAAGCACAAACAACGCCATTCATCACAGCAACGTTGCTTGCTCTACGTCAATGCATCTGGATTGCTCTGCAGGTGTGGAAAAGTGCAGATCACAATCCACATGCGACCCAATGACCATTTTGTTGCCCTAAGTGTGTGGCCCAACTGTCTTTGGCTAGAAAAACTCATCTTTTTGTGGCCTGACACCAATCATCTGTAAAAAATTAGTATTACTAAAAGCAAACATGAAGTGTTTTCTGGTGTCCAACACAGGTACTGACTGCCCTGTGTGTTGAATCAAAAATTCACTTTGGCCTTCTGACCCATTTTTATACCCACCTTTGCTCTAGTGTGAACCAAGGTTTATTTTATTTTTTTTATGGAAATATGGGTTTTCACAAATTAGTTCACTATTCTCTAAAATGCTACCAGTTTCATATATTTGTTTACATTTCATATATTTTTATCTTTGATTGATCTTTAATTGCTGTCTTTAATCAGGACCATATCATATTGCAGATCAATATTAGTAAACTTTGTCAGGTTTAGTACAGTACATTTTACTTTCACCGAATACGTATCATGATTATGTTGCAAGTTGAATACTTAGTATAGTAGTATAGTAGTATACTTAGTATAGTACATTATTAACATAATAGCTGTGATATATATGGGGGTTCGGGGGGGGGGGGGGGTGCGTTCACAACTCAAAAAAAAGCTTGTGGCTCCCCCGCTGGAAAGTTGCTGAGCAGAATTACACTTTAAACAGTTAAAAATCATCTCATATCACCTTTATTTTGATAGCTAACGCCTCCTCAATTTCATTGAGGTTCCGACATAATCTTGATTTCCATACAATCGCTACACGCTATTACCGACAGCTTTCGGTGATGCTGATTTGTCAGTTAATTGGGGGAGCCTTCCTGCTACGCAGTACAACGGTTGCATTGATTGCTTAGAAAACCAAGCTTTAAAATTCATGGCCCTCCATCAATCCTCCCATGTCAATACTCCTAGATATGCAATTCTAGTCACAAAATTTCCAGAGCATTCTTAAATTTAGCATCATGTCTCCAACCCACTCTATGTCCTTCAATATGTTCGTACAATAATCACAGAGTCCAAATACGAGTGGAGCTGTACTTAGTAGTTAAGATTATTGCTTTCTAAGTCCACATTCTGCCAGACAAATGTTTTTTTGTTTTTTTTCTTTCTCATGACTTTATAAAAAAAAAAAAAATCCACTCACTAAGCCTCATTAATAGAGATAATTTTTTTTTATTGACAAGTGTTCTTTCTGTTGAACTTGAAAAATAGTAGGATTAAACTCCAGTGCAATTTATTCATCGTATGTTGTTTCGGATAGCGGTGTTGAGCACCGTGAACTCGTTCTACTTGTACTTGGTGAGCGGTTTCTTGGAGATGTCGCTCGTTCCGGTTGCAAAGTCTTTGGACTCTCGGATTTGGTTGTGTGCTTTGGCCATTTTCGCTGCGCACCTGTGCCATAGACACGATACGTTCTTGCACTAAGCAAAGTGTTACTACCGTCGGTGCGCCCTCTACCAATCTTACGGAATGTTGGTCTTGTCCATCCGTATACGATGCAATTGAGAAAACCTTGGCTTGGTGCAGTGATTCCCTATTAATGAGACAAATGAGGAATTTGGAGTAAGATCTAAGGACCATTTTAAATTGATGTTTTATAATAAACTTTGATAATGAAATATTGTCAATAAAACACATAACAAAGAATCAGGAACTGAAAGATTTATTTGGATTTTGATATTTAAAAATCATTACAGCATTCAAACATAGAATACGATCTGAATATTGTTACCAATAAATGTATACCGTATATTTATGTATAGCATATTTATTAATAAATGCCCAGGCGTATATTGTTAAGAAGCCTTTTTGAAAGGGGGGGGGGCCTTTGTTTAAGGGAAGCATACAGTACATTCGAAGCAGGTGGTGTAAAATGGATAACATATGTGGCAAAGACAAGCCAAATCAGTCACTCATCGCAAAAATCATTATTGATACTGGGTTAAAGAGTAAAATTAGAGCTATAAAATGCTAAAAGAATAATTTAAATCAGACATTTAGTTATGAAGTTACAGGAGCTTAAACATACAGCTATGTAAAGAACAATATTTGAGAAATCAGCCTTTAAAGTTTACGATTTCAGGCATTTCTTGGGCAGAAACTATCACCAAATCGTTCAAAATTGTTGTTTTAACATTAAAAATGAGGAAAATTACAGCATAGCATGATGTATAGATATATAAAGGTTAGTTTAGTGCAATAAAATAGATTTCTGAAATCCCGAACTTCCAGCATGTTTTGGCAATTATCTCCAAAACATGATTTGCGACGAGTGACTGGTTTGGCTTGTCTTTGCCACATATACTGTATCCTCAAATATACGCCTTAATTTCACTAATAATGTGGAACTACAACACATAATTACTGTCAAAATGTGTTATTGCATGATCATGATCAAAAGACTTATTGATCCAAACCAGGTTAGCAAAAATGTAATTCTACTGGAGTAGAGTAATCATTTTCAGATATGTTACTGATAATTTTTTTTCAGTTTATTTTTTATTTCATCATTTTGAATTTTTTCAAATTTTTAGTATCACAGTTAAAAACTAGCTGCCTTACAGTACTTCAGAGACTTATGTTTACTAGTAGTACACAGAACACTCTTATTTAAATGGAATATATTTAGTTATCTAGTTAACTAATTTCTAATTGAATTGATTAGTTAATTATTTAATTGGTTAAATCTTAAGTAATTAATTAGTTAATAAATTAGACAAATAAAGCATCTCATATTAGACATGTTCACATAAATGTGGAGCACGTTATCTTAATCATGAAGTGATTAAGTGATTATGAGATAGTTAATTTAAATACTGTTCAATATGACTATTTCCAGCGGTTGGGAAACTATGGGTCGCGACCCAAAATTGGGTTGTGTCATCAGGTAAAGAAATTTGGGTCGTGGGTCAATTTTGTGGGTTTCTTTATTGCAGTAAATTCAGTATTTATTATACATGATCAAAATTGTTGTCGGTCTATCAGAAACATCTTGTCCAGGATTGGACGTCACTAGATGTTGATTGATAACATCAACAAAACCTGTTAATACTGAGGCCGCCACATTCACTGTGGCAAGTCGCCCCCGACATTAACATTTAGGAAGTTTTCGTCATCACAATCAACATTGAGTGACATTAGATCCTGAAGAATATGTTCTGACAACAAGATGACAATTTCAACCACGTAAATAAATACTGGATTTATCTCAAGATAAAATATACATCAATATATTATATGCATTTATTTTGGCCAAAAAAAAATGTGTCATTCTAACATTTAACTGGAACTACTCAAGTTATTTATAGATAGAAATGTTCCATTCCAATTCATGGTTGAAGCTAATTACAATAAATCAAAACAGACATTACATCATGAATAACTACCAAAATTATTTGTAATCAAGGTTATTATTGTTGATGATGTTTTATACCAATTAAGGTGGCAGCCAACAAGGTTGCTAATGGTTCACTCAATACAATTCAAAAAGAAGATGAATGAAGTGTTTTTTTTTTTATTGTTGGAAATGCACAACTAAATAACTATTAGTAGCATACGATCAATTAAACTCAAGGCTATTGTTGGTGGTGATGTTTTATACTTATTAGGTGGCAGCCAAAAATGGGTACTAATGATACGCTAAATGCATTAGGTGTTTTTTTTTATGTTGAAAAAGCACGAATGTTAAGCAATTGAACACGCATACAGAAATATATTTTTTTTTACTTACCTGCAATACATATAATACTGCATAGTCATTAACTGAAATATATTTTTGTGTGACAAGGTCAACCATCCCCAGACACAATGCTGTGAAAATTCAAAAATGTCAAAAGACGTGAATGTAATTGAACATTTAAAACTTCCGTTAAGGTGCAAATGGTATATCAGTGTGCCTGAGAAGGAGATCAAAGCTGGACTTCAAAATTGAAAATGTGATGTGCTTCATAACCGCAAGGGAAAGCCACAATATAAATAACCAATACCAGTACCAGTAAAAAATCAACGTGACAATTCAATAAAAGTTCTCTTTTAAACTTCTGCATGATGACATTTAAATATTCGCTTAGCACACTGCATAAAGTTTTTGTTCATGCTTGCATATAAAAACGGATTTATCGCTGAGTTTGCCCAAAAAATTAGGTCTGTAATTCTCAGGGCTTCTAGCGGCAAATCAAAATTACCATCTAAACAAACCGTAATCATTAATGGAATCCAACAGACAAGGAACATCAGAAGAAGTAGCAACAGCATCTTGGTCGTTTTTAACTCGCTTTGCGAGAGAATCAACCTGTTGTTAGACGTCCCATGGTCTTTATCGCCACTATGATTCTGTACACGTCGACTGCTCTGATGTAGTTTTCTCAGTATCAAATAGCTTGTGCTGACGAACGATAAAAGAGTGTACGCTACGCTCAGAGATGACAGCAAAACTTGATAAAGCCAAGCCTTATAATCACAATATACAGCAGAGCAAAGGCGAAAAGCTTCGTTGTAACCGATTGCCCCTGTACCATACACTGGTCCAAGAAGCGGTACCACGACAATCACAGCGTGTCCAGCCATCAGTAGTGCAACTGGCAGCGGTTTGGAAAATTTCTGGTACACTTGCGCTGGCTTGCTTATTTTGACAAAGCGATTTATACTGATCATGCCAAGAACAACAACAGAAGCTCCCGTACACGCCAAGCGTAGCATGGCAAGGAATTTACAGCCCACATAATTCAAACTCGGCGGCCACTGTCCTGCGATCATGGTCAATATAAAAAAGGGGACACATACAAATGAGGTGATAAAATCCACAAGAGATAAACACCACATTAGAAAGTAGAAGCTGTTGTGCAGCGAAGGAACATAAACGATCGTGAACATGACGAATGCATTTGCACAACTTCCAATCACAGCAACCACAACAAGGTATACGACGCTGAAAACCAATGTCGGTTGAGAAATGCTGAAGTCAACCAAAGAGCAATTTTTAGCCTCCATGGTCTAAGATTTCCTTAAGAAAATACAGATATATTTTGTGTAAGCTTGTGTTAGCTTGTGTTCACATGCACGCTGACTTGTAAACTTTCAAAACGAATGATTATCACTAGTTAACCAATCAGCAAAGAAAACGTATGTTTCATCAACCACTTACGATCACTTTTCATCACCAGCTGGACACTATTCTTCAAGTATAAATCCAAATGCCATGTAGATGTAAATCTTTGAATATTGATTCATCTTTTCACTGACTTTTTACGAGAAGAATTATAAACGAGATCCTGATGACGTAACGATCATATATCTAAAATTAGGCATTATCGAAATCAACCAAAAAAAAATAAATAGTAAACAGCTGTATTATGTAATTAGCTTCTCGTTACCTGAACTCCTTAAGACACTGGCTGCACTTGAACACATTTGGGGGAGGCAGTATATATTAGCTTTGCCACATAATGGATATTTTACGTGTATCAAATTAAAAATAAAAACAAACTTTAAAAGCTTTTCGCTAAGGCAACCAGTGAAGATGTTGACAGTGTCAATGATCACCTGGTAATTAGTTCTTTGTATTTAATTAAATCCATAAAGATTGGTTCCCACATCTTCCAACCAATGAACAGCCAATAAATTGGTTATCATCAGTCAACCAATGGCAGCCTTCAAAAATTTGTTCTCAGTCATTTAACCAATCAACAGCCTTGAAATTACTTAACTAGTCCAACGAGGGGTTGGCCCAACTAACAACAGCATAACAGTATGGGTAATGAATTAACTTTCAAATACCATTTAACACAATTTATTGTAAATTTCTAAAAAAGTTTTCAGCATATTTACATTTTGTTGGTACAACCATGCCAAATGTCATTATTTACCTATGTAATAAAATACATTTTAAAATTTATGCTCACTATATTTATTTAAGAAAATCCCTTTGGTGGATGATTCCATTCTGTTTATGTACAATTCTGCACCAGTAGCTAGATTTGTTTTCTTATGGCCATGGAAATCCATTTGTAAACCTTTCAGATCCTAAGGTTATTTGATGAACATCTATTAACTATTGTTCACTCAACATCGTTTCAATATTACCATTTCTTTGTTTCCATAATTGGCTCTCCTGAAGAGGTAAAACCCATTATTGATAAGATGATATTAATCTGCGGTGGCGTGTGGCCCAGCGGTGTTGCTTTGTGCTTTTAATTTAAAGGTCGAGAACTGGTTACGTAGATGGTGTCCTTGGAGTGTCCGTCTGTGTGCCATGGTAGAATTCGCATATTTGAAATGAAATGGTCTAGTGCAGAACCTACTGAATGTCTGGGAATATTCCAATATTTTTCAGTATTCAAAAACAAAAAAAAAAATACTCTGGAAATATTCCTCTGAGAGAGGTTCCATAATTATTTATCCAACGACCAGAGGAAATAATTAAAGCATTGTGATCTAGAAGAGCTGTATTTCATTTATTTACTTAAATGATTACAATATATGCTAAGGCCCAATAAAAAATATTAGTTTATCACACTATCTAGGCTGGAAAAGTGATAGGGAGGGAGGCTTTTTATTTTTATTTTGCTAAAGCCAAATATCACCATTGGGTTGGTTCCTGGTGCATTGATATTCAAAGTAAAATACATGATTGAGATAATACACACAATATCTACTAACTATTTACTAAAAATATGATGATAATATTTCCAAAAAAAAAAAAAAAAAGTTTTTTTCCAACCATAGAAGACATGAAATTATAATACATAAGTATTGAAATACACGCCATCGTGTTGGGATTCAATATTTCGACATTAATTATGTCATCATATGACATGCAGGCGGGATTGATAAACTAATCATTTTTTTTTATTAGGCCTAATCAGGCAAAAGATTACATAAAAACAAAAGCATACAGCATCCTTGTCGGTGACAAGATAAAATAAAAAGCGAACATAAATCCTGTCGTATGTTTTTTTCCCTTCTGACAATCGTAACAAAACCAACATTAATTGCCACCAATTAAAAAAAACATCAATACAAAATATAAACATTCTTGGTGGATTCTTTACTTTCGGTAAATTTGGCTTTAATTTATAAAGTGCCCATATCACTAAATCAAAGCAAAAATCAAAAGGCGCTATGCATGTTTTGCCAACTATTCCTGATAGGTAAATAATACCTTTCCTGTATTCTTTTGAATTAAATATTAGAATATTAAATATTAAATTGGCTGATAATGAATTTTAAAACTTTTGTAAAAAATTTTTTTTGTATCTGTTTCTGGTTAGTAAGGCGAAACTTTTTTTATTCCTTGTTTCATGTACTTATTTTTTTATGGGTCATCAGAAGAGCGCGGAATAAATATAAAATTTTGTTTTCTTATTTAGCAAATAGTATTGACAAAAACATCCAGACAAAGGAAAAAATAAAAATAAAATTTTATTGGTGAACGTAAAATAGGATGGTTAAATGCTTCAAATTTATAAAATTAGGAAGAAACATACATATCTTATCTTTTGAGATTTCAAGGCAGTGGAGGGCATAATAAAAATAAAGAAAAACTTTTATTTTTTTCTGAAATTTCAACATTTTTTCGCGGTGGAGGGTGCGCTTATTGGTCAAAAATAAAATTTTATTTTTATTCGAAATCATCAATATTTGCAGTCAGGTTGGTTCGCTAAACAAGGTATAAAAAAGTCTCGCCTATATAATGAATTTTATCCTTTTAAATGAGCTGTTCAGGGCTTTGATTGAATTTTTTAGGTTCTTCCACATTCTTTTGGCAGACACCACATACTAAATGAATATAATGGTGGTTTGCAATGTACAATATGAACATAATAGATTTGGTTTACCATCATCTTCCTAATCCTTATGTAAATATAAGCATTCTTAGCTTTCCATCTGTAACTGTCTGTAATACCGCACATTCACATTTAGTTAATCTTTTAGGCCATGTTCACACACACCAGCTAACAGTTAGCAGGATCCAGATAAATAAAATACGCGCGCACGGTTCCGTTCATACATGAAAATCCCCAATCCAGATATCAAGAAGATAATGGTGGGATCATTGGCCAGTAGAAAACTGGAAATTGAAATGCGCATGTGTGATTTGTTAATGACAGGAAGAGACTCAACTTGCTAACCGATAGCGCTCGGTAACCGTTAGTGTATACAGTAGGGTGACGGTTAGCGCTAACCAATCGGGTGTTCTCACACAGGTGCTAAAGGTTAGTGCTAACGGTTAGCTCTCGATCCGGATACTAGGGCTCTAGTGTGCACCTAGCTTTTAACTATTGGACTATGCGTACAACATGTTGGCATTTGAGAGACGCTAATTAAACTTTGGGCAAAAAAACAAGAGCCACATATGGCAGTGCCAATAGGGAGACAACAATATTTTGTAACAGCATATACTAAACATGAATCATACCATTATTGGATGCATAATTATTTATTTCTATGATTATATTACAAAAATTGGTGCTCTCCCCTCCCCCCTTCATTAAAAAAATTCTGGATCCGCTCCTATATACATGGTTTCCTATAATAATAACAACTCTGGATTTATATAGCGCCTCACGTTGTCACAACCTCGAGGCGCTTAACAACAACAGAGAAGAAAATAAATCAAAAACAAATGTACCAAAAATTATTATCAAATATTTTGGGTTTTAGTTTAATTTAATTAAGTTCAAATTATTGGTTTGATGATTATCAAAAAATATTATTAGAATAGTTTGGTAATTGGAATCATTTCAAGGTCTGTTACTTTCCTATTCATCCCAAAGCCTTCATTTTTCTTTCCCTTTTGCTTCCTGTCTTTCTTTTCCCTTCAAATGTTTCTTATCTTTACTTTTCTTGTCCTTTCGTATGTGTTCTGATCTTATCTTTCATATTTCTTTTTTAGATTCCTTACCTTTTCTTTCATTTACTTTCTTATAATTCCTGTCTTTCATTTTTAATTCTTATATTTCTTATCATTTCTTTTCTTTTCCTTTTAATGTTTCCATGTCTATCTTTCCTTTTATTTTCTCATGTTTCATTAATCTTTCCTTTTCTTTTTCGATCCTTAGTATGTTATCTTTCCTTTCCTTTTTCTTTCTTATATTTCCTTATTATTTCTTTCCTTTTTCTTTTAAAACAAGAAAGAGCAATGAATTGGCAGAAGGAATTTAAATGCAACCTTCAAAACTTTCAGTGAAGAGATGTGTTTTTAGCTGTGATTTTAATGTGAGAATTGAATCAGAATTGTTAATGTGCTCTGGGCGGGCATTCCACAAAGTGGCTGCAATGGAAGAAAATGCTCAGGAGCCTAAAGGTCATTAAGGATCTTGTCAATTCTGTTTGTACTGACTTGAACTGCACATGAATTCAATGGAAAGAGTACTAATGCTACTCCAAATTGTTGTATAACTTGCCTATGTAGTATCTCGATCTCTTGATTTTTTTTTAATAACCAGCTATAAACACACCTCTGCAACTCAAATTACTCCTAGCCTCTTTTTTTTTTTAAATATCACAAATTGGTCATTTCAATACAGTGATCTGTGAATAATGTTTAAGCATAGTCGGCTCGTCTCATAGTAAATACGGAAGCTCAGTAACTGACCGTAACCTGATGCCACTCCCACTCGTTTTTGGTTATCTCGAGCATAACTAACCATTATTTATATATTTATCGGTGGTTAGAGACAATCGTAGGGCACATTATAAATTTATTGGTATAGTAATGATCAATTAATTCTAACGACAATGGTCCTAGTGAGTACTGTCTGATTGAACCAGTTTCTCATATACAACGCAAACAGACACAATGGCAGAGATGACAGGCAGTACAATGGAAAGTTTATTGCAAAACACAGTATACAGTATATTTTCATTTAAATGGATATTATGTATGCCATATCCCTTGTTTCATTTAAGTCACCGTACAAACAGTGTAGTAGAAGCTATAATTAAGTTACAGAAGGATATCGGGTTTGGTTATATTATACAGTAATGCTATACCACCTCTCTGAATATTTTTAACATATGCTGTTTTCTTCCATGTACTTGGCATTGTTTTTTTGTTAAAATTATTTATTGGCTTTTTCCACTACAGAGGAAATGCCATTGTTTTTGTTCTGATTTAAAAAAAAATCCTATTTTCTTTATGCTCTTGTACAGGGTTTTCCTATATGGCAAAAACTTTTAAATGTAATATATGAGAAATAAGTACATTCGACCTCAAACTGTAAATTTAAACAATGAATTTCAACTTGAGATTGTTTGACTGATGCTTGCACCATCTTATACCACTTTGTTATATATAATTCTATGAAACAACCACAGGGTATGGGATAAAGAAAAGAAAGGAAATTATATCTTCATTTAAAACTTCCATCAATTATTATTATGTCAATAATGAGCCTTACTGTATGTTCCGTTTTAATAAACAAACACTAAATCTATATAAATTAATATTATCATGATAATAATTAATAAGTGCTATGTATATCAATGAATGTCTAATAAAATAGATTTCTACATATTTTTAAATTTTATGTCTCTCTCCAATTTAAGGCATTTTGGGACCAGGGTTAAGATGGTCTTTAGCTGTTTCGGTCTCTAATTCAAAATAATAAAAGATAAGACATTTGTTAATTTGGGACCACAGAAAAGTGGTCTTTAATTGGAGTTGGTTTTTAATTGTAGGGTCTTTAATTGGGAGACGTGTAATAATCTTATCTTATTCAACTTTTTAAAGAATGTTATATAATATTGTAGCCTATTCACTATAAATTCTCTTAATATGTCAAATTCTAAAGTTCGGCTGTACCATGTTTAAATTTACTTTGAATAACCATAGTCAGCATTGGAATGGCACTTGTAATTTGTATTGTATTGTATGCATGAATAAATGAATAAATGAATAAATAAATGAATGCATTATGAAATGAAATGCCTTTTTTCAAACTTTGTTTAAATTCTATCAAGTAGCTGATGCCAGGTATAATCGATGCCATGTTTGTCCCCTTGATTATACCAGACTAAATGTAAAAATCCTGAGGTTTATGCTTTGATTCGCTGTACAGAACAGTATTAAAATGCATTGCGTAAATGCAGATCTAAAATAGTTCACCAAGTCAAAAATGTACTAAACTTGACTAATTCAAACCAACTGTCTTAAGCCGGACACCCATTGCGGCTTCTGACGGTCGTATGACCGCCGGCTGAAGGATCCAACCCACTGGTCATCGGGCTCTGTGAGTGCCCGTCTTTTGAATGTATGTAAACCTTTCACACTATTCTATCAATTACAAGATCAATAATTAGTATTAGTAGGAGCGTCTGGCATTCTCTGATAATCTTGTTTTTAAAGCTAGGCATTGAGCCAATTAGGTAAAAGTCTTTTGACAGCTTTTAAGAACTGTGAATTACAATACGCATAAATAAATGGATCGATTGTAGAATTAGTCCAGACCAACAGGTCCATGAATCGAAGGAGAGGAACTGGTACAGTGCAATTCTGATTAAAAAACATAGCGATTGAAAACGGCAGCCAACAAATCATAAACGTGAAAATCATTGCGAGCATAATGGATGCGACTTTGTTATTATCTTTCTGCTTCTGTCTCACTGTGCCTGTACCTATATTGAATGCAAATGAGTTTTTGTTGACTGAATTTGATTGAAGGTCAACTCGTCGCTTGCTGTCGCGCACCGTCTTAAAGATGACGTAGTTTGTGATGAAGAGAAGGAGAACAGTTACCCCTAGACCAACCGACTCTAGCAACACTGCCAGAAGCCAGCCATCATAACTGTATGTAAATGTACAATGATGCAATCCAACATTGAATCCAACTTCACCGAAGCCCCAAAGTGGCGTCAGCGGCAACGGACATGTAATGCACCCCGTTGATACAATCATCAGAAGTATCCAACGTTTACTAGTAAATCTCCTGTACGTCTCTTTTTTTAGCACTACTTTCATGAAACGGTTAAAACTCATAAGCGAAAGCGTACACAAAACCATACCGACTGTCCATAATCGCAAGTACGCTATGACTTCGCAAAAACCAGCTGTAACATTTACATCAATTAGCGTAGTGATGAATATCGGCATGAGAAATCCGTTCGTGAAGAGATCAAATCCAGATAAATTACAAAGAAAGAAATAATGAGGGTTGTGTAAGGACTTGGTGTATATCACAACAGTGATAACGAAAAGATTGCCAAAAATTCCAAGAACTGATAATAAAGAAATATAAATGCATTCTACGATAACAACTCCCACAGGACTCTCGTCAACAAATGAGGCGTTGCAGAATGATTCGGTCATTTTCATCAACTACTGTATGTCAATTATTGTCAGCAACAATGTCTCCATCACAATCAATCTATTACAACATTGTGCAATCTTTCCCTTGTTCAGAAGATACAAAATTTGATTATAAATCAAGAAAAGTACCAGGAAAAACTGATATAATCTCAGCCTATTGAAGAAGAAAGTGTAAAATGTTTGATCTACGGAACTCTGTCGTAATCACATGGATCAACGACAATATTTAATACGATATGATCTGTCACAGCTCAAAATTCAACTCTATCCGAATAATATTAGAAAGCTAATGATGAACTATCAAATAAAACTTAAATGCAGAGAAATGAAGGCAGAGATAACAGACCACACAAAGACGCAGCAGAAATTTGATCGCAAACATGTCATTAAAATGTCACCTTCATTTACGGACTTTGTATCATTAAGTTTACAATATACTTCGGCTTCATTTAACAATATTTGCGTTTATACCGATCAAACAACAAAATTCCCTCATTTACTTCACATAAGCGCTTTATTAAATGTTGATTGTCATTAGCAGAGAAAGAAATACTCCAATGTACAAACAAACATACATGAGAATGGAAAAGGTATTAGCAGCTGCATTGAAAGTGTCTTGTATCTGATGATTCAAATATCAAGCACATTGGCACAATAGGAGTATACGCTGGTTTTGATCTAGGGGTGCGGAATGGTCTGGGGGAAGAGTGCAATAGTGGCGGATCCAGGAATTCAATATATAGGAGGCCTAGGGAGGGAATTTCATTGATGGAGAGTCTAGATTACCTCAGCCCCACCATGATTGGGTTTGAGGTAAGAAAATTTATGATTATCGCACCTCTAGATGGCTGGAAATGGCACTCTCAGATATAAGGTAAATTTGATTAATATTTTCCCTTTCTCCATCTTTTTATAATGGAAAAATTTGAGAATGCGGAACTAAGTCCCTATTACAATGAAAACTTAATGGGTCATTCTTAGTATTTTTGGAACTAATTTGCCATCATAGGGTGGGGGAGAGGGGTAGGTAAATAAAGCAGATCAAATGTAGTTCATGGTGTAATGCTGAATCCCTCCTTACGCCTACGCACAACACTTCAAATGCAGATCAAAAAGCTGAGGATGTTTACAATTCAGCATTTTGAAAAGATTAAACATCTGAAAAGTGACTAAAGATGAAATTTTGTGGGTCTTTTTAATTCTGACTACAATCAAGAGCCTCATTAATGATTACTAGCCCTTGAGATAACGATTATTTGAGTCGATTGTTCCTGCTCAACCCAACTACACTAAATATTTGATTCCTTTTAAGACATTGATCTTCGTCTATAAAGCGCACATCCAATACGTTTAATTGGTAGAGCACGATATTGTGAAGGCATTTGTTTGCAATCAATAACGGAAACTTAATGTCTCCCACTCGTTTTTTCTCCGAATATTCTGTCTTTTATTAGGTATTCAACCTATTTTGGTCAAAAATCCAATTTTAAACATGTTGTGTTCTGCCAGATTCAATTTTTTCTGATTTTATGGTGCACAAAGATGGTATCAATATCAGTACTAAAAATTGTATAATACAATGAAAAGGCAGAAGCAATCAATAATATTTTAAAAATCATGATGACATCATCAAATTGAGTTTGTTTCACACTATCATATATCCTGAATAACATAATTAACAAAATATTTCCAATGTAATAAAGCTTTATTATATAAAACAGCTTTGTGACAAAGTCGATATGTGTATGCAAGAACAGATATCAAAGGTCTGAATGTCATTGAGTCACATTCTCTCATTTTCAAGAAATCCTTGAATTAGAAGAAGACACTGTCCATTTTTTTTGCGTAATATGCGTAAATTACAATTTTCATGAGTACCGGAGGTGGCTTCAGAAACTGAAGACGGGGGTGGGGGGTCTGACAAGTCTGATGGGGTCTGAAACAAGGGGCCTACTAGAGCTTCGGTCAGGGTCCCGGAATAATAATCCCTGGTAGTGCATTCAAGGGCAGGATTTTATGGCTCATTACGGCCAAAAATTGTGCTTTCAGACCACAATATTGGCCATCAAAATAATGTCATAGGATAGGCAAATTAACACTGTTTTTGTCCAACAACCTCATCACTATCGGGCGATCCTGGCCTGTCTGAGGGGGTGAAATTTCCCTAACTGGCGCGACCGCTGATCAGTACATCACGATATCAAATCAATGAATTATGCAAAAGAGACTGACATATCAAAAATAATTTAATCTTCTGGTCAGTCAGCAATATACATTTTGAATTTTTGGATTTATTCATGCATACTGTATAGCAAGTATTCATCATTGAAGAAAGGGAAGATGAAGTTTTTTGTTTAAAAAAAGTCAAAATTTTGAATGTCACGGTCTGCTGTTGTACCAGGGCTTGAGGACCAGAGAAGTAAGATAATATACGTATCAGAAGAGTATAAAAAAAATATTCAATGCAGAACCAGATTGTGTTATCAATACATCGTTAAATCACGTGCTGTCTGCTCAAAATATTAAAATAAATTTCAAGAACAATAATTTAAAAAAACTGGCCACAAAAAAACTTTATATTATTTTTTTTTGTCTGGTGCCAGTCTCTTGCGATCAACAACAATTAATACAATATTATACTTTTATATTGTGTCTACCGATATTATCCTGACAAACTGGCGACATATGCTGATAAGAAAACTGATAATCTAATATTTTTTTGTCAATTACTTTGATTCAATCTATTATTTATGAAACTACCACTACTCCTAACTTAATTTCTCCTTTGAGAATTAATCAATTAAAAATTTAATCTGTTTCAATGAAAGAAAATTAAAAAGAATGAAGTAAACACCCAAGGCTTATAGCAATGTTTCAATTCATGAGTGGCTGAGTGATTAATGGGGCAGCATAACTTGGCTCATGATTCTAGTGGTAGAACCAAGCTTTCTTGATTAAAAAAATCGTAAGCCCAGTGTATACAAACTATGTGCACTTTAAAAAAGCCCAGGACATACATTATATTAGGCCTATATAATTATATATCTATACTTGCATAATGTATTATATACAACAAGCCTATCAAAGCGTACAAATGCAAGATAGCAATTGTAAGAATGCAAATGCAACAGAGCCTCGAAACTAGTCGTACTACCTTATTTATGTTTGCATTTTTATAAATGGGATATTGAATATACCTTATATAAGTCTTATGTTAATGTTAGGCAAACTTCAATAAACCAATATACAATACTGTATTTTAACAATGGGTAACTACCACAATAAAAGTTTAGCTGATTGAGCCTAAGCTGCTCCCTTCAAAATGTGCATTACATGTGGATGACGTAGGGTGTGTTCGGGCGAGAACAGAAAACCGTTACATAGGGTTCATATCGGTATTGTATCCACAGGTGTCTACCGGTTCGTGCAGAACTCGGTTTGCAAAAAACCCATTAACATCTGACGTAAAAAAACCTAAGGTTTGCAAATGATGTGTTTCTATCAAGTTGCCCTGGACCCTTGCAGCACCCCACACTTTATTTAAGAAACAGACTTTGGCATTGGTCTACTGCATAATGATGTTGTCTCAAAATCAAGTAAATGAAATTACCAAAGAAGCTAAACAATAATAAAGCATACATTGCAAACTCCCAATAAATCGCAGATGTGCATTTTGGGTGTATAAACCATGAATAAAGTTTCATTCGTTGGACAATTGTAGTTTAAAAACAGAAAATTACTACCACTGTTAAACGAATAAGCAATGGTGCCACGATCATGTATGCCCTCAGTTGGAATAATTTAGAGCTTGCCAAGCAAAAAAAAATAATAGAATTTTCTCATGAACCATGAGCTGATTTTTTTTTTTTTTTTTGTTATGGGAAAATTAGATGATATATGTCTGAATTTAATTTATTTTCTATGGTACACCACAGAGATTAATTAGATCTCTATATCAACCGAAAATTGCTGATATAAGAATTTGTTGGCGCCTCATTTTGACTATAATGGCGATGTGATGATGATGAATTGTATTGTAAGAGTGTCATTTCTGGCCATCCAGAAAGTAATATTTCCTCAAATTTTCTCACGAAATGTTCACACCCCCCAATTTTAAAAAACAGATCTGACCCCCCCCCCCCATAAAAAAATTTAAACCCAGATCCACCCTTGCCTGGGAAGGTTTTTTTTTTTTTTTTTTTTTATGTTATAGCGCCCCACTGGTTGCGTTCCTATTTCCTTGGCACCCTGGGAGTAATTTCTGTGATCAGGCAATCTTGGTTGTATCGTAATTATGTGTGACAGAGCCTAATTATTATTAATTTTTTTTCAAATCCTGGCTGGTGTTGTATGTTATGGCAGATCATTTCCTATACTGTGGTTTACAGTAACTTCAAGTTTAAGTGCGCAGCCAGAGAGTATGTCAATTAAACATCATATAGACTTCGACTTTGCAGATAATATTGTATTGAATATTAAATATTTGCAAAACAAACACTTCAAAGGGTCTATATGCTAGGGATCAACCACAAGTGTAAAGACAATTTCTTTTTTGGTCATTTTGAGATCAGCATTTTAACCTTTGTCATGAAAATGTGTATGTCTTTTTAATCTTTTTTTTTGTTTACATTTTATATTACAATAGGCTATATTTGATTGTTTTTGTACTCCTTCTAATAACTTGATCATTGGTTGTATTTTATTGTATGTATTAACAGCTAGGTCCTGGAGGATAACAGCGCTTTCTCACTGATCACGTTACCGAAGGTATTTAAAGAAATAAATAAAAATAAACAAAAACATGCCTACACCGTCAAATCTCTCACCATCCCCACCACCAAAAGCGTAGGTTTTGTACTCATGCCAAAGTGATGAAAATAATCCTGAATGCATTGACCCTTCATAATGCAACAACAACCAAACACTTCATATTTTATCAAAACAACCCTGGATATCAACTACAATAAATGGTAATCAACTTCAACATATAAACATCACCGAGTACCCCAGATCATTTATTAAACGTAGCATTATGATCTGAAATGTATACACCAAACAGGGCTAATGAAGCCACTTAAGGTATGGGTTACATAATTTGAAATCCTGTTCACACAAGATTTAAATTGGACAAGTTAACAGAAGGAAAACAATATGCTTAATGACATGCTTTTATATTAATGAAATTGGTAAAGTTATAAATAGTAACAAAATCCCTTGGTATTGAATGTAGACATTCAATTTATGAAATCCAAGAATACTAAGAAATGTAAAGATAAATTGCTCAAGTAAATAAGCTAATGAAGCCACTCAAGGTATATTGGGGTTATTTACTTCAAAGAAACCTGATTCACAGGAGATTTAAATTGGACAGGTTAACGAAAGGAAAACAATATGCTTACTTTATACTTTTATATTAATGAAATCGGTTATAAAGTTATAAATAGTAGTAAAAAAATCAATGACAACTTTAAGAATACCAAGAAATGTAAAGATAAATTGCTCTAGTAAACAAGGCTATTGAAGCCACTCAAGATATTGGGGTTACATATTTCAAAGAAACCTGCTTTACAGGAGATTTAAACTGGACAGAGTAACAGAAAGAAAACAATGCTTTAATGATATGCTTTTATATTAATGAAATAAGGTAAAGTTATAAATAGTAACAAAACCAATGAGAACTTTAAGATCACCAAGAAATGTTAAGATAAAATGCTCTAGTAAAAAAAAGTCAAAAGCATGAGGCACCACAAAACAGGGCAAAATTTAATAAATGTTGTTTTGATAATTTTAGGAAAGTGCTGTCCATAGTTGGTGTATGGTAGTGTCCGTGACAAATAAAACACACTGTATTGGCAAGACACTGTTTAGATGATACATGTCTATAGATAAAACACTACCTTACACTATTACACTTTTAATTTTTATAATTATCCTCATAATCCACATCAACACCAAACATCAACACCAATCATCATCATTGTCACCGTTGTCGCCAGCATGTTGTATCCCTAGGCAACTATAAATAATTAATAAGAATAAGAATAATTTACTGGATCTCATCACAAATCACAAAATCATACATAATGTACAGGCATACATATCTTAATTATGTATGGTAAAATCAGTCAAGATCAGAGTTTGATAAAATAGATTACTGAAATACAACATCTAAATAATCAAAAGAGAATTCCACATGTTTTCTTCACGTAATAAAATGGAAATGGTAAAACAGTGCGGTTAATTTAAAATTTCTAAAACGTTACAAGTAATAAAAAACTAAAACTAAAGTAAAATTATTGCTTAAAAACATTTTTAATAAAATACCATCTAAATAATCAAAAGAGAATTCCACATGTTAATTTAAAATTTCTAAAATGTTACAAGTCAAAAAAAACTAAAACAAAAGTAAAATTATTGTTTAAAAACATTTTCAATAACTGTAAAAAATACCTTCTAAATCATTAAGATTCTCCTTGGATTATTTAAATTGAATTAAATTTATGAGGGACTATCAATCTGTACTGGTAGTATTTAGCATATTAAATTTGTTCGTGCTAACAGACTCTCTTTAGGTAATTCTTACAGAAATTGTCAAATATAATTTCAATTTTGTCTTTCATAAAATGATGAGAATATTAACCTATATCGGCAAGCAGTAACAAAAGCTTTGAGTTGATGTTTCCTAATATAAAACACATTCACTAACTCAAAGCTTTTGTTAATGCTCGGCAATACAGGTTAAGGCAGCATAAATAACTATATTAGAATTTATTTAGAAAATAACTGTGCCACATTCTTTATGCTTATCATAAAAAAAAAAAACAAGTATATGATTATATTGATTGCACTGTATAAAAAAAAACCCCTCACCCACGAGATTCTGGTACTTTGAGTGTCAAATTTAATTAAACATTATTTATCATGAGCTGCATTAAAACATGTATGTACGGATATTGACTGATCTGTCGAGAGGCCAATTTACAATAGGCCATAAAATAATAGTGTTCAGAATTGCTTGAGAGTGCAATACGAATTCGTAAGGACTTTGAAAGTATTTAGTTTTTCATAAGATGAACTGCTGCCTTTAGAATCGAGAGGAGTCAATTATTATTCTGAGAGCTGAATAAATTTGCAATGACTTGGTTCTCATTGTTTAATCATTGCCTCTTGACTCAAAACTTGAAGATTTTTCTGAGGTAACATCTAGGAAAGGCCTTAAAAAATCCAATTTAAAACACTAATTTCTCACTGGAAAGGATTTAATAACACACACTACTACAATTAACCATATGATTGCAGGGGCGCCCTTCGCAATCATCGTAAGAATGTATTTTAGGCCATCCACATGTGTAAAAATTAAAAGTTACTGTTCTACCTGACATTTTATTGTACTGAATACCCATTACTTGGGAATGGTACTAACTATTCAGTACGAACCCATCAGGTAGGGCTAAACATCATTCCTATGAAATTGCCTGATGCAAACAACATCAAACTGGCATTGCAGTACCTGCTGCTACCTGGGGATTCAATACTAGACACTAAGTGCAAGCTCGGTGGTGAAGTAGCCTGGTATTCAAACTTTTTATATGGTGACCCTATAATCTAGCCATGCAACCTTGGTGACCGAGTCTCCCGCTTAACTTTGTTCATAAATCCTCCTATTGGAATCAGTTATTATTTCAATTAAAATGTTAAAATGACTATCATTGTCAATAAGAAAATGGAGGACTACAGTAATATGGGATTCAGGAGGCAGATTTAAGGGGGGTGGGGGGAACGGGCTGGCCCTGGCCTCCCCTTTTGGAAGGTTAAAAAAAGAAAAAAAAAAGAAAGAAAGAAAAAGAAAACACCGATCACCCAAAATGCCTCAGAGGTTAATTTTGGGCATCTAGAACACACAAATTTCGCAGGGGCATGTATTATATCGATCAGCCCACTTCCGTACCCCCCTCTTCCACCTTTAGGACATCTCTGGATCCGCCCCTGGGACTAGTCATGGTTTGATAATTCGCCATTGACAAGTGTTTTATGTGGATTATTTTGTACATTGGACAATTCCTGTCTACCTTAATACACTCCAGAATCTGTACACACATTTTCATCTGCTAAAAAGTTGCCAACAACGATATAGTGGCTGTGTGCCACATCTAAATAGCTGTGGGAAAAAGAACATTATCAACCTGCTGCACACTCTTTAAATAGCGACTCTATAACATGCAGTAACATGTTTCGTCAACTCGTAAAAAATTCTAAACATTCTGTTCATCGCCCACAGATCATACTTAAGAACATTATACAGCATGATTTTAAAACATTTTCATCGTAATGAAACAGCAACAATATTTAAAACAAACAACTTCAAAACAAAGTCAATGAATAAATTTAAATTTGATATTTACAATGAATTATATTGGTTCATTGTTTTCAAATTTTACGATCGATTAATATTTTACATGTACTTTTAGTGACTGTGTCATGTCCATGGAATACAAACTGCAGTTCGCTGATACTATGTTTAGTATCATGGGCAGACAGTGATCAATATTTATTCACATACTTGGTCACCTTGTAAACATAAGTAAACTTTCGGATCACACATGGATTCAGGAAACATTTAAAAGCTTACGAATAAAAGAAATTTTCATCGTTATATTAATATTATACTCAAAAACACAAACCACAAAAAGCAGTTTATAAGGCCCCTATGCATGCATAAAAAGCAGACATTAAAAATGGATTCTGTTTGTCTATTGCACATACAGTGGCTAAGCAATCCAAGTGGAGGCTACTTAAGACAGAAAGACAATATCCACATTTACAGACTAAGTAAATGCAAATATCAAAATAGCTAAGTAGGTTGTTGAGGATCCTATGAGGGCCCTCATAGCTGCACTTGGTTGTTCATTAAAAACAATTCAATCTGCGGCCGCATCCACAAAACAGAACTGCATTCATACCACAGTAGTGTTATTAGCATTAGCGCTCTCTAGTGGGTGCTCATACAAATCGTCGCTCATATCACGAACTAACACAATCAAAGTAGATTGTGTTAGTTCGTGAAAACACAGGAGCGCGTGAAAACGAGCGCGTATTGGTTGTCAAGCAATTTTGTATTCTTTACCACACAGGAAAGTCCTTAACAACAATATTATTTTGACGCGCTTTCTTGATTTCACGTACTAACACAATCTACTTTGATTGTGTTAGTTCGTGATGTGAGCGACGAAATGGACCCCAAAAATATATCTTTTTCTGAAAAGTGCATAGTGCATTAGTATGTGCTACACAAGAGGAAATATAGCAAATTAATAACAATAATGAACAACGACAATATTGACTTACCTGGTATCCAGCAGTAGAGAAAAACAATGATGTAGAACGTGATGCGTATCTGCATACTTTTGACGGCATCACGCTGTGCGTCAGTCCACACTGAAATTAAAAGATATTATTAATGTTACAATCTTAGTAAATAGTGACCTAACATTTTCAACTTTGACAGAGCATTCTTCAGATTCCAGATAAAAGCTAAGATTTACCATAGCATTTCCATTAGATAATAGAGACATTGATACAGCTACTGCACAAGTTGGAAATTCAGCATGGATTCGAACCACAACTACTGCACCCAAACTTACAAAATAAATACTATACCATAAATGTAAAAAGATAAGAGTAATAAAGATTAAATTCAGGTACCAAATCTGATATAATTGTAATAGATTTATTTATCTTTATGCACTACAGGAGCTGTCTCTTATACACATCTAGATGTGTATAAGAGACAGTATTTGTAGATATTTCAAAAGGCCATGGTTTTCAAACTTCAAATGAATTTTTACTTTGTGGTTACCATTACCAAAAAATATATAAAGGTCTTGAAAACAGCTTAGCTTTATCGGCTAAACTTGTAGTAGCCGCTGTGCATAGTTAATGTTTTACTATATATTTTAATATGAATACTTACAAGTATTGTAATCATTGAAAGACCTAATGATATTACAAAGAAAATAGCACCATAATTCTCCCACCACCAGCCAGTATAGTCGTCTTCTTTCTGAAAAAAAAAATTATATAAAAAAGAATATTAGTAATAATAACAATTATAATAAATGTTATATAGTGGGGCATTATAGGTTAAAGACTACTAAGCATCTTCACATTAAAATTACCCCAGCAATTAAGCACAGATAACACATACATAACCCCAAGGGGAACATTCTTAAATATTACAACTGTAAACAATGCATTGGCTATATAAGTCATATGCAAATCACATGTAATCAAATCAGCAATTAAAACATTTATTTTATTAATATTCATTTATATTTATTTTATTTCCTAATAGTGTGCAGAAAAATTTGATTTTTTGAAGGGTATCAATTTGAAAATGTAAGACCATGAAAAGGTAACTGACCAAACTTGGCAAAATTTCAAATTGGCAACAAACCAGTTTGGCACAACATTTACAGAAAATTAGGGAGAGCAGACTGTTCATCGTTATGTCAATCATTTTTTGTTACTTATCTTACTTGAAAGTTAGTAAAGCCTAACAGAAAAGTTGTTCACCTTTTATCTATCAACATAATTCATGATGGTGGCATTTTGGATTATAAAATTTAGATAGATGTTCCGAGGGGCGTAGGCTGCTTTCGACCTGGGGTGGGGGTGCGAAATAATGTGGAACTAAATCCAAGAACGTGGAACTTCTATTCCAATGAAAACTTAATGGTCATTATTAGTATTATAACCCACTTAGTGTGCTGTTTGTTATATTGACATCTGCTGCCATGGGGTGGTCCTGCACCCCCAATTTACGCCCATGGATGTTGGACAGACTGTTATACAGTTGAACTTGCCTAAGTCGAATCCAAAATGCCATTGAAAAATTGTTTGACTTAGATAAAATTTGACTTACAGATTGTTTATTAATTGAAAACACTACAAATGTAAAATAAGTTCGACTTTGAAATTATTCTAGTTAGGCGAAGTCGACTTAGGCAAGTTTAACTGTATTTATACACGGTACTAAGCCATCTCTTTTGCCACTATGGATTAAGCTTTTGACCTATTTGGCTCTCTTACTCGGCAATGTGTGGATAATTATGTTAGTCTCAATATGTACCGCATCATGCCAAGGCCAATACGTCAAATGTTCTTGGCCAATTTACATAGCAATTTTCTGCCTGAGTACTTCTGTTTTACATGTAAACCCAGGACCATCCGTACAGATTTTTTTAGTGGAGACCTAGCTGTGCCACCACAATGTACAAGCAATGAATATATATCTCTTCCATTATATAAATAAATACCTACATTTAAGACAGATTGGTTTATACTTACTGACTGGATTGATGGTCTGTAAAATAGAAGTAAACACCTGCGAAAAAAAAGGATTAAAATATGTTATAAACTTAAAAACATATAAAGGGGTATTTCAATATTTGGAGTATGTATTATACTTTCTTATCTGAGATTAATCAGTGGACCTTTCGGTTTTTATAAAGGGGATAACAGCAGGTGTTCAGTGGCAGCGTGGAAACAGAGAGACTTTTAGCGCCCCTTTCAGACAGATCAAACCCCATCCTTGGACTAAAATAGAAAAGTAAATTAACAGATTTTTTTGGCTATATTTAGTGTCCTTAAAATTGGCTCATGCCCAGTTTCTCTAGATACCATGCAATGAACATGAGACCCTGAACCCAACCAGGACTTTGACCTGAGATTGTTTTTATAGTAATTTTGTTGCTACAACTTATTGCATAACTATATTATACAGTTCCTAATGTAGCTATTGTTTACAGTTTCATCTTATATGAACGTAATAAATAAAAATAGGCTCCCAGCATATGTGAGGTCTCACCACGAAATGAGACGCATCGTTGGTGAAATCATATTGAGATATTTACCAAAATAGGTCAAAGGCAACATTTTTACAAAATTTTGATTTTAATGTTTTTGAATAACTTGATACTTATATTTTATGATTGTGTACTTTTTAAGTGAATTTTCTTACTAAAACAGTGTTCTTTTTGCATATTCTGTAATTCTAGTCCTATTATTTGTACAGGTTAGTTTATCTTTGAGGCCGATTTTCTCAAAACCTGGTTCTCATACACCTAAACTTTAAATGCTAACATATCTATTTATCCTAGGGAAGCCATTCAAAGATCAAATTAAAGCTTATAATGTGATCTACCAAAATGTAATATAAACTCATTTTTTGATTTTCTAACGATGAGACTCATTTTGTAGTGAGACCTCACATATGTCCTTGCCCTATACTGCCAGGCCCTTCTGTATTATGTTTACTAATAAAGTATCCACATGGGATTAGGTTATCAGGAAATGTGTGGTGTTGTATATTTTTTTAATAACTTTTATGCAGTAATAAGGTACTTGAAGATGTCACATGAACCACCATGCACCTCCACCGGATTTACCCTTTCTGCCATCTTTTACTGCCAGATCACAACATAGTGTCTTTGTCCCGGACGGGGCATAGACACAAAAACATATTGCATTGCCAGATTTAGACATACAGCAGCAATTGAGGGCGCTATACCATTATTTTCTATACCCTCATGATAAAATTGAGGGATATTTCAACTATATATTTTTGCACATTCATTCATTTCAATTCAATACTTTTTAGACCATCATATATCAAAATACAATAGAAATGTTTCTTCAATTTTCGGAACAGCTGTGTTTATTTATTTATTAAGGTATAAAACGCAAAGCAAAACAGCAGCCAAAGGCTAAAAACGTTTTTTCTTTTTGTTTTTTTGTTTGTTTGTTTGTTTATATGCTGAGTATTAAATTTTAATGTTTAATTCTTACCTATAGCATGGAATTAGTTCCAGCTTCTGATGATATATAACTACTGGAATCATTACTACAATTGGAATCAGCCTGAAAGACAATGGAAGTCAGGTGTTAGGAACTCCTGGAATCAACAGATATGAGGTTGGTTAAACTCTTGAAATTGAACCATTTCTACCTGCTTGATTGTGATAGCAGCTTAGCTCAGTTGGCTTAATTGGTAGTAACCACAGTTTGGGATAAATAGGGAAGTCTTTTTCAGGTCATTTTCCCCTGGTTCAATTTCTATCATTGCTCTCCTTTGTGTTTCAGCTGGAGGGCTGAAATATAAGTTACGATAATGCACCCTTCTTTCAGGATGAGATTTCTGGTGTGTGTGGCGAGTGGCATTTAGAGATGCAGTTTTCAGATAAGTCAGAACTTTGGTTTCAAATTTACTTAGCTTAAGCTGGGCAATTACTACGCCCAGCGGTCAAAATTCTATGGGGAACGCAATGCCATGACGTGCGCAATGGATTGTTTTTAATGAAAATTCGTTCAGGTTGCCACCAACAATCAGAAGACAGCGCCATCTAGTGCTCATGGGGAGCAGAGTTTGATGCATTCGCCGACGGTCGTACGACACGGTGTTTGTCTGGCTTTATCTATAAATCTTACCATGAGAGAATATACACCATCCTAAGAGCCCACTTCATTTTAATATTTGACTGTGAACATAAAAAACCAAATCCAACATCAATATTTTAGTTCCAAAATAATAAATAATCAGCAGTAAGTATGATATATAAAGTAACTAGTTGTCATTAATAAATCAATTTTATATCTAATTAGTAGATTATGTTTGACTAATTTATTTTATTTATTTGAGGAAAAAAACAATAAAACTGACAAAATCAAAATGACAGAGAGAGGAAAAAACTTAATTGTCCGGGACTGGTCACTTACCATTAATGTTGAGAGCTTCTTTGCCCGATGTAGTCGATCTTTGATCCGTACATATACATTTAACGAATAATTCATAGTTAAAAAGAATGTTGATACATGGAATGCCTGAAAGAAAAGGGCAAAAAACAGAGCACAAGATCAAAAAACAAGTTTACACTTTCTAGATCAGATACAAGATTATGTTGGGATGAAATCTAAGGATATGTAATTCTTTTGTAACTTTGTTGAGCCACCTCATACAGACACGTGTGTGTGGGTTCTCTTAAGATATTGTCTTGCTTTCTTGCTTGTGTCTGCATGGGCCTAGTGTACATCTCATACAGTTCTATGCTTCATATATCTCATGCTTTTATCAATCTCAATGATTTCCTCTAATAGACAAATTAAAATAAATCGTATCTTCTCTTATATCAAAACTGGCCAATCTTCAATACATCAAATTATGAAATAGTGAAAACATGCCAAAAAAGTTTAAAATGGGTAAATAACAGGATAGGAATGATCTGTTTGACCATAATAACAACATAAATATTACACTTAAAATAAAATTATATAATAAATTTGGTGGTTTACTTCGGTAATAGCTTGTAGGTAAACACAATTTTCATTTGGTTCTGTTTCATCACTCCACAGGGCTGCTCCAGCTACCCAACATATCGCCAATCCGAGATCTGCAACAGACAAATGGAATAGAGGGCGTACCTGCAATTTAAATCAACATCAATACAGTAGGTTAATTCATCAGTTTATTTACAATAACGTTTTATTTATTAAAAACATACATTTCATAATTTCAATATATTAAACAAGTTTCCTAGGAACATATTGAAATGCACTGATAAGAGCCCTAACACAAGTGGCCATCTTCATAATACCTACAGGAGATAGAGCCCAAACACATGTGTGGCCTAGTTCAGACTAGGTGGATAAACCCGGCTCAACTCACCGGGTTTATCCACCTGCCAGTCTGAACTACAGTAAGTGGCTTATCACAAGCTGGGCTGTGTTCCTATAGTAACTAGGCCTGGCGCGCCACCGTGTTTAACTTTTCTTAGCCGGGCTTTAATCGTTGCGGGGGGTCTTGCATTGACTTTGGGTGACGAAATGACCAATCAGCATTCAATTACGTATGCTGTGAGCGAGCGTATGTTTCGCGAGCAATGTTTTGAAACACGTTTCCTGGTTGCAGGTCATTTATGCAAATTTGGGCCTGGCTAACCCTCTAGTCTGAACTCCCGGCAAAGTTGAGCCGGGCTTAACTCAAGCCTGGCTTATCTCCAAGTCTGAATTGACTCCAGGGACGCCTGGATTAAAGTTCAACACAGGTGGTCACATTCAAAGGCATGCAAGTTGCCAAAAATAGAATAAAACAAATAAAAAAACTAATAGTAAAAGGTAATAAATGCAAAGCATACCTCTTCACTGGTAACTACTCCCTTTATTAATGAGTATATTATAGTGGAGCTTGACCCTAAGATGCTCAGACAAGCAAACACAATATGCACATATCGCAGGGCATACATCTGAAAAGAAAAATTACCAAAATCATTATATGCGAGGGTGAAACACAGTCTTAAAATATTTTATAAATTAATTTATATACTGTAAATGGAAGTGGTTTGTATAGTGGTATTCCAGCTATGGGTTTGAATCTTGTTGTATATTATTATTGTTAATTACTTATATATTTTAAGTAGTGAATGCTATTGGTAGTTGTATAGCAATGTTTTATATGCAGTAATTTTGCAGAGAAAGACAGTATTTCATTAAAAAAAAAAACTGTGGACATTAGTTTAAAGTAGTTAGAATATTGCAGAATTCCTGAATCTGTATAATATTGTACAGTACCAGCAGACAGAATAGACATCAGTCATACTGTATCATGCTATGTAATAAAAGTTTACTAGCGGTATACAGTACCACTATATCAGAACACTCAGCATTAATGACAGCCACATGTTTACTATTTAAATACTGGTACCTTAATAATTGTCGTTGTACTTGTTACACTTTGTTTATTTGACCAGACAAGAACATCTGTCAGAAGGTCTTAATTGAATATGTTACTCGATTAATCTGCTACAAAGATATAGACCAATGAAAAAACAGTAGGCCTACGTGAATTTTTAGAAACAAAACAATATTGGTAATTGGTAATAATAATAATAATAATAATAAGATCTTTCTTTTACAAAGGAATATGTGCCGTATATGTGCCTTTAACATATGGTATCAGATCATGAAATCAAACAAGAACTACTTACAAATACAAATAATAGATAAGGAAGAAACAAAGATACTATTACTACCAAAAAAAACTGTACACTTAAAAAATTATGTTGAAATTAACTTTTTAAAAATTTTAAGAGTGGTACTATTTTTTGTGGTCTCATCAATATTGTTCCACAAGTCAGCACCACGATATGCCAAACTCTTTTTTTTATACTCTGTATTAGGTTTATCTATTGGTCAGAGTTAATTAAATGAAGGATACAGTCAGGGGTGAAATCAGAGGCAGATCCAAGGGGCCAAAAAAAAAAGAGAAAAAAGAAAAGAAAGGAGAATAGGGGGTGCACAGTATTCCAAAAACAGCTAACCTTAGATTTAACTTCCATGTACCAGTGTCTATGGTCAAGCATTTCTAAAAAAAAAAAATCTCAAGCACCTCCCTTCCCCTACCTGCTCAGTGCTTCGCATGTCACATGGCCCCACCCACATTTTCCTCTGGATATGCCCCTGAAACCAGACCAATAAATGCACACATCTATGCTTGACCAATAAAATGGCAAAGCTACAGATAGACACATGGTCTGACTTATAGTGGAATTATTTAATAAGACAATAACTGAAAATTTAAATGACTAGAATGGCAATGTTGGATATGGTAGTTAGGGTCAGTCATACATTTTATAATGAATGAAAAGTTTTCTAACGTAGTAGGTCAGTTTGTATGGTATATAGTCAAAGTAAGTCCAATGAATGAAATCATTAAAATTTACCAGACAGAGGGACTGGTAGAAGTAGAAAATTGCTGGTTAATAAACAATGCTTTTAGATAAAATGACAAAAAAACATCACATTATTTTTCTATAGTTATTGGGATTTTATTTTGCTACCAGTGCCTGCATAAAAGAGGCATGTACAGTAAGTATTCCTTGTACTATTATTCTAAACATATTTTTATATTTGTACTCGGAATACATTTAACTTGGAAAGCTTCTCATTATTATTAATGAAATAGAAACTTCAATGCAAAGAATTAATGCTGAAATACACAATTCAAACATTTGAATTACAGAGTAGATTCACACATTACACATTAACCTAGTCTACATCATTATAACAAACACACTAAGTAAACATATGAGTTGATAAGATATAATATACTGTAATAACTGAATGCTAATATGCACGTCATGTTATAATCTATGCTGAAGTTTGCTGACATATATGCTCCCTAAAACCAAACTTCAATATAATAATAGTTAATCTAAAAATACTAATTAGAAATAACTTCTGGATTCACCATTGCACTTTTCAGTTTCCCATTCGATTGAAAAAAATCATAGAAAAAAACCTCTGCAGTACTGCAAGTACCAGGCAAAAAGTTGGTTTCTATTAGGATCTTTGGAAAGTGAATTAAATAAAAGGTCATGAACTGTAAAGTTTCAACACGCCCTATTTTATATTTCCCTGCCTTAAGCGTACATTCCATATTTGGTAAATTTGCAGGATCTGGTGTCATTAAATATTCATTAACAGCGGAACTGCGGTGCACTACAAACAATAATGTTTGTTGAGTGAAAAAAATCTAAAATCTAAATTTGAATGTAAGAATCCCAAGTTGGTGAAGTGAAATTTCTGGGTAATTTGTCTTTTATTGAAGTGGAATTTCTAGGTACTTTTTTTGGTTTGTTAACTAAATTATACATATGATATGTTAATTCCATGTACCAAAAGCCACTACAAATATTTAAGAGAAACAGCAGTAGTCCGCTTTTTGTAAGTTGCGAACAATATGCAAAACAAGTCAGTTCCAGGTTTTATTGTAGAGTTCGGTGGCGATGCAAAGGCATAAGAGTTTTTAAATTGTAAGTAACCTAATACTTGAAAGAGAAAAATGTTTAATTTTTGAAAACATACACTTAGGAGCCATTTTAATATTCAAATTAAAAATTCTATTTTCTGGGAAAAACTGAAAAACCCACAAATTTCTGGGAACTTAGGAGTTCTGCGTACACCTTGTGAGAAATCTGGACCCCTAGTACTGTACTATCATATCAAATGGCAGAAGCCTCTTTGCTAAATGTTGTCTATAGTATTTTTTATTGTTAATTATTTTCCTCCTTAAAATTGTGTCAAAACATATTTTACATCCCTACTACAGTATTATCAGAAACAATCATAAAATTTAACAATAGATACATAAACACTGATACCTTATGAATAGAAAAAAAAAATGCTCACTCTAAAAATACATATATTTGATCAACATAATGTAATCTTTACTCAATCATTATATACATATTTAAACAGAAGAGTGTACTTAGTATCCTAGCAATGGATATAATTTTAGTTATGGTATATATGGGTTGTAACCTTCATTGAGCAGAGGTATTGACTTATTGTGACATGCTTTCAATCATGGGGGAAGTAATAATAATAATAATAATAATAATAATAATTACTTTATTTAAACACGGAAAAACTTGATCACCCAAGGGTGTTTTTCATCAAGGCCGTGCAAGGCCATAAGTGGTAAAATATAAAAATACAAAATACTTTGTTTAAGTATAATAAATGTGATTAAAATGTGAAATTAAATAGTATCTTTAGTTTAAAATAAATCAAAAACATATGCATTAATTAATTTAATATACATACAGTAATTGATTAATTTAATATCAGAAGTTAGATTAGATTAATGATTTCTTTAAATTTATTAATATTTGCTGAATTTCTATACTCGATTGTGAACACAGGCGATTTTAAAAATTTGAACGGTACAGTAGTTTACCACCAGTTACATGATGGAACAATGATCTACATAAAGTCTATTTAAATTAATCTTTAGAAGCACTTTTAGTCAAGAGAAAAAAAAAAAACTGGTATCAAAGGATTTGGACATGGGGCCCTGGGATTGGAAGGTATCTTAACCACTACAATGCAATCCCACATAATTTATTGTAAGATCTTCTTTTGTTTTTTTTTGCAATTAATTATATCGCTTTGACAATGTGAAGTGAAACTGTGATAATAACATCGCATTGTCTTCGCGATTTCGCGTTGTTTTGTTTTGACAGGCTCCCTAATATTTTTATTATATTTTACTTTCTAATTTATATTTATCGATTCTTATTACTGCTATAAAAAATCTTTGCTCGCCATCCCCATGTACTGAAGAACAAGAATTATGGTTAAAATGCACATTTTCTTTATGCCTCTTTTCTGTGAAATGAACTGTCCCTTTAGTTAAAATACGACTATATACAGTACGTTTTATTAAAACTGTTGTATTTATATCAAAGTCTGCTGGTACTAGTACAGGCATTCATAATGCGCCTCTTCCTTAAGATTATAAAGCTCACTTCTTTTCCATGGTCATTTGGTCCACATGCTTTAAGCGTTGCTGCTGTTAATCAGCGCAGAACCACGCAGCCCCACCAGGTACCTATATATTTCTGGGTGGAGAGAAGCAATATTGCAGATAAAGTGCCTTGTTCAAGGACATGAAAGCGAAATGCACAGCAAGGGATTGAAACCCCAACCTCAAGATTGGGAAACCAAACTGTTTCCGCTCCGCCAATCCGCTTCCACATTTTAAAGGCAAACTGTGAAATTCAATCATTAAAACTTTTGCATGAAAAATATTTGATTACTATTTCATACTTTCCTATTACTGTATTCATACATTTTTAATTACAAAATTAAAAGATTCACTTTTGCAATGTTATACTGTATAATAATAATAATAATAATAATAATAATAATAACTATTATTATTTTATAAAGTGCATAATTAAAAATGAGGAGCCTCAAGAGTCAAAGTGCCTGTTGATGAAAATGTATTTATTATAAAAAGTTAAGCATATTGTATGAAAAGTTAAGTCATTAAAAAATGTAATAATCCTTTGGAAATAAAGTACTTTATTAATCCCAAATGGTGTATAATTAAAATCATTTATTTATTATTTATTTATTAACCATTGTATAAAAAAATATATATTATACTTTACTATACTATATTATAAGATATTATCCAGAACTTTGATTAGAATTAAAAACACAATCAATTTGAGTGATTTTAAAAACAATCATGATTTAACAGTTTGAGGCAGGAAGCCAATGAGCTACCCACATGGTGCTTCAACTACTTGGCACTTCCTTAGCTTCTGTGTAATTGTGTTCAATGCTAAGAAAACCACACACAAACACGACCCCAAATTGACCTTTGTATCATATGGACTATATTTTTGTTTGTTTGGTCCACACCTAAATGTAATAATTAGCACGCTGAAATAGG